AAAAAAAAGCAATAAGCAGAAACCTGTCATGTTTCCTTCTGTGGTACTGTGGTACCCCACATTACTGTCTTTCCTTTCTCTCTCTTCATTTGTATATGTATAAATTGGAGAGTTGAGAAAAGAGTACAACAACAAATAGAAGAACTCAACCTTGTGTACTAAATTTTGAGACCCAGGTAAAGGAGTTTCATTTCTAGGCTGGGTTGATCACAGGTATAATATGCTTTTAAAAATGCATTTATTTAGCAAACATTGAGCAACTGCCGCTTTTTATTGAAGATGTGTTGAGTTAACAAGGTCAACAATTAAAGAATTCATTAAGATTCCTTAGCGAATCTACAGTCTACTAAGATGAAAATTGACATAATTAAAATTATAATAGACATGATCATCATGATCATGGCTAAAACAGAGCTCTAACCAAGGGCTGAGGAAAGCAGAGCAGTGCATTGAAAGGTCTTCAAAAAGTAGGTAAAGCTTGAAACATGAGCAGGACCCAACAGAAGAAAGAAAAAGTGATTGGGAATTAGGGAGATGTGTCTATTCCAAAAGAAGAAATAAACTCTGTAAAGAAAAAGGAAAAAAAAAGGAAGAGAGAGTATGGCAATTTGTGATATCAAGGTTAACACATGAACCATAAAAAAAAAATTAAAAATAACCTATGTTCTCTCTGTAATCCATACACCTATTTTAAGAGTAACAGGTAATTATTTTTTTTTTATTAAGGGAGTTTTACTAGCTGATTTATTATAGTATGAAATTGAAAGTTTTTTCCTCTATTTGGAGAAATTATATTTTTATCTTAAGAAAGTTCTGACTGATGTCTTTAGAAAGTTTAGTATATCTACTGATATGAAGGAAAAGCTTAATTTCATAGCATGCATGATATTGAAAACAATATATAGATAGTTACATATATATACCTACATTTTTTTTTTTTTTTTTTGCCATATCCTGCTCCTCCCCACTGCCACTGAATTCCAAAACTAAATCTAATAAAAAAGCAGCCTAAGGGCACTTGGTTCCAGGGATCAAGCCCTGCCTCAATTCTCTCTCTCCTCTATGCCCCTACCTCCAAAAGCACACCCACTCATGCTCTCTCTCTCTCTCTCTCAAAATAAACAAACATTAAAAAAAAGCAGCCTAGTGTTGGAATAGAGTGAATATAATTATGCACATGCTTTTCTAAGAAACAGAGTGTCTATATATTTTTTGGCCTCAGGTAAAGGGTGCTAACATATGAATGTTCTGATAGACATATTACTTATACTACCCCAAATCCTTTCACCTTTCCCTAAATAAATATTTATTCACAACCAATATAATTTTTTGTTACTTTATTCATTTATTGAATGAACAAAAATTTATTGAGTGTCTACTATAGGCTTGGCACTATTTTCAATGCTAGAAACATATTAGTGAATAAAGTACTTACAGATTCTGTTCATTGGAGATGGACCTTAAATATTAAAAAATAAGTAACGATTACATATCAGGTATTCATTAATGCTATAATTTTATCTGTTTAATTTTGAGGTCAAGTTAACCGGCCCTTTTCAACTAATCTCATTTCCCTGTAATTTCTGTTAGAATAGATGCAAAGTTTTTTCACCAAAAGCTGCGGATTCAGAGGGTGGAGTGATTAAAAAAATCTCCAAGGAGAAAGATTATCTTTGTTCCATTATACTGTTCTAGAACATTAAAAAGATGGACTACTTCCCAACTCACTTTCTGTGTCTGCAATAATCTAAAATAGACATGAATGGTGTACATAGACAAACAGAAAACAAAGAAATCATAGAAATACAATGTTATTTATGAATATAGATCCCCAGGTCTGAAGTATATTAGCAAATCAAATCCAGAAGTGTATTTAAAGAGCCAATTGTAATGAGCTAGTAGAATTTATTCTAAGAAAGGCAAGTTGATTGAACAACAGGAAGTTTGGTAAAATATTCTAATACATTAGCATGATAAAGGAGAAAAACTGTATGAATAACCTGCTGCTAAAAGCATTTCATGAAATTTAACAACTGCTTAAAACAAAATACTTAGTAGTCTAAAAATACATCTAACTTGATTAAGTTTATATATTTTTAATCCACATATCAGAAAAATAACAAATACATATAGAATTTTTACTCTTAATTTCCTCTAAAAAGAGTATTTTGTCTGTTAATTTTAGCACAGAATTCTTAGTCCTATTCAATACAATGAGGGGAAGAAATTACATATATGAAAAAGGGGAGAAAAATAGTTACAACCTACAAATGATATTTTCCTTACCTGTATTTTATCTACATTATTAGCATACGTAAGATCATTCAGTAAGCTGGCCAAGTAAAAGAAAAACATAGAAACAATAATTCCAGATGATAAAAATAGCAGCTAACACATGTTTTACACAGTGTATAACAGGTAATTTTTTAACATGTTTTCCAAGTATAACTACATTTAACCCTCTGAGAAACTTCAGGTAGGTGCCATTATTATATAATACAAATACAGTCCTTTTTCACAAAGAAAGGAAAAAAAGAAGTAAAAAGAAGAAAACTAAAAAGGAATGTATAGGATTTATATGATGAATTCTCTTACTGAAGATTATCAAATAAGACTTGAATACATGGACAAACATAAATAGAATGGCCCAATGTTATAATTATTACCAAATCAATCTAAAAGTAAAATGCAATGACAATTAAAAGCCCAACAAAGATGGTTTGATTGAATGTAGACAGCTTATTTTGAAAAAGAAAATATGTAAGAATAAATGAGGAATTTTTAGGTAAAAGAGTGACAAAATACCTCTCATGAACCAAATAATACCTAAAAAAAATACTATTCTATTAAAATGTGATTGATAGGCTCATTAATCGAATAGATTTTTGAGTATAGAATTTGAGTACATAGAAATTTATTTTATTATGAATGCAATGCTTTTAATACATGTTATTTTTAAATTATGTTAATGCTATTAGAAAAAAAAATCTTAGAACAATGTGTTATATCTGTACCATATGCCACACAGAAAAATAAATTATGAATACTAAAATCTTAGTGTGAAAATTAAATTCAGAGAAGTCTACATAGCCTTTGACATATATATGAGAATCTTCCAAATAATTGTAGAGAGGGAAAAGTCTTCTTAAGAAATAGATCCAGGGGCACCTGGGTGGCTCAGTCGGTTAGTGTCTGACTTTAGCTCAGGTCATGATCTTGCTGTTCATGAATTTGAGGCCCGCATCAGGCTCTGTGCTGACAGATCAGAGCCTGGAGCTTGCTTCAGATTCTGTGTCTCCCTCTGTCTGTCTGCCCCTCCCCCACTCACGTTTTGTCTCACTCTTTGTCTCAAAAATAAACATTAAAATATTTTTTAAGAAAAAAATCTAAAGACATATACAAAAATATATACAGAAAAAACAATATAATGAATTTTCATAATTGATCTTTAAGTGTTGGTTATGTTAGTCCCATGGGATTATTTAACAAAGTGTGTGAATTTGTACGTTTAATAGAAAATAAGGGGGCGCCTGGGTGGCGCAGTCGGTTAAGCGTCCGACTTCAGCCAGGTCACGATCTCGCGGTCCGTGAGTTCGAGCCCCGCGTCGGGCTCTGGGCTGATGGCTCA